TGCGGAGCGCGGGCCTCTTGCCGTGAAGTGAAGTGGGCCGCACGTTTCCCCGCCCTCGACCGCGGCCACAGGCGCCTTGTGCATCGTGCCCGCGCTGCGCATCGTGCTAGGGTTGACAGGGGGCTTCGGCGCCCCAGCAGTTGCCTGCAAAGTGGTCGCAGGATTGCTTGGGCGCTGGCTCAATGGCTCACGGCAGAAGTTGCAGGGGAGCCATGCTGGCGACCTTGCCTTTACATGTCTCAAAACCCTTCGCCCCTTCGCATTGCGCTGCCACAGTCGAGGCCGCGTGCACCAGTAAGGGGGCTTCGGCGCCTTGTTTTCAGGGGCGGCTTGAGGCGATCTCTAAGGGGAAAAGGGTGCAATCGCTTGGTGTCTATCTCGAACTCGCATGCCATATCCGGTTGCACAGGTGCGTATGCGATGTGTGCACCAGATTCAAGTTGCAGATGCAGTGACTCTGCTGCTCAGTAGCTCAGCAATCTCTGTCGGTGCCACGGTCGGTGCCAACCCGTGCGGCTGTTTTGTTAGAGACTTTAGCAGCTTGCCGAGGAGGCATCGTGAGGAGAGGCAGCCAGCCCATCGAGGTCTCCTGTCGAGCTGGCAGCGATAAACGACGGCTGTCTTCTTGCGATGCAAAGGCCTCACCACACACGAGCACAGAAGCACGGTGATCCAGCACCTCGTATTAGGAGCTCTTCGGGTCGCGGGTGCACGTCAAGCAGCCCGCAGCCTGAGGGAGCTTCCTCTTCAGGAGTGCTGCTTCCCCGGTTCACAGCGAGCGCAACTTGGCGTTCTCGCGAAGCCGTTCTTGGAACCAGAGCGGAAACCTGCCGGCGGAGGCAGAGCGTCAACGTGCACCATCCTGAGGCGAAGTCTTCGTGCAGGCTCGCAGGAATGCCATGCCCCATCGCCAACGCCGCGATTTCAACACATGACAACTCCTGATGCCGTGGCACGGCACTCCACGCAAGAGGTACTCTATAGGTGCTGGAGGTCCGATTCCCATTGTGTTCGTGTGGGGCCAATGAGAATCCAAGCACATTGCGCACCAGCCGACGCCACCTCGGTGTTTTCTGGGCCGATTGTGACGGATCATATGCAGCGAGCTGCCTGGTCCGCCGTGTTCCGCCTGGCAGACGATGGCCGGATTCTCGAAGCGACGCCCCGGCTTCCAGAGGTGTTGAGTTCGCCCGGGCTGCGCGGCGATGGACGCGCCACGTGGCCCTGTGCGCCTTCAGTGCCTTCGGTGCCTTCGGTGCTTTCGGTGCCTGCGGTGCCTCTATGACTCCTCTGTGACACCTGTGTGACTCGTCTGTGCCCTGCATATTGCTCGGACAGCCTGTCGATGCCCTTGAGGCCTCTCCTTGCCGGGGCCTCCGTGTTGAAGGGTTGCGCCGCTGACGTGACTCTGCATGGTGCGGGGGCCGAGTACAGACGCATAGCTCACACAGACACGCCGCTCGTGCTCCCCCAAATGATGTCGTCCGCAGCTTTGGCCTCTCCAGCCATCGGACAGATCCAAAGCTCGAGCTCATCACATCTGCCTGCCAAGTGGCACGGAGCACTTCAGCTTGCCCCACAGCGGCAAGGACGGCTGACTTGCATTGGATCTTGTACAGGATCCTACGGCCCTAAACCCTAAACCCTTCACCAACTAGGGTTCTCTAACAGGGAGGCTCAAAGTGGAGTCGACAGTGTCAGGGAGACTCGCACCTTCCATCTCGCTTCGCTTCCACTGTTACCAGAGTATTCAAAGCAAAAGCCTCCATCTCCTAGAGGGTCCGTTTCTAGTACTAAACCCTAAGCCCTAAACCAAAAACCCTAAACCCTAAACCATGATGAAATTTTGGCACCAAGTAGCATGTTTTGAGGTACTTCTGAGTCCGTGCTAGTACTACAAATGGACCCTCTTTGTCAGTATGCATGCTTTAGTGTTCAACTTCGCTTTACGTGTCCTGTGGTTTCTGGTCGAATTTAGTTGACTCCAGGACCTAAAGCCCTAAACCCTAAACCCTAAACCCCTAAACTCCCAAACCCCAAAACCCTAGCTCCAATAAAACCAAAACCCTAAACCCCAAAACCCTAAACCCTAAAAGCAAAGAACCCTAAACCCTACACCCCAAAGCCCTAAACCCTAAAAGCAAAGAACCCTAAACCCTACACCCCAAAGCCCTAAACCCTAAGACCTAAGGGTCATTGGGATCTTCTGGTCTTGGGTCGTGATCTTGAGGTTCTGGGTTCTTTAAGGCTTTCTATTCTGAGGTTCGTGTTTGTTGAAGTGGTTTAGGGTTTAGGGTTCAGGGTTTAGGGTTTGGGGTGCTTCTGGACTTCGGATAGTTCTGATCTTTGAATCAACTGAGGGACTGCTGCTTGCCCCAGATCCCCCCAAACCAAACCCCAAACCCCAAACCCCAAACCCCAAACCCCAAACCCCAAACCCCAAACCCCAAACCCTAAACCCTAAACCCTAAACCCTAAACATCCCTAACCCCTAAGCCCTAAATCCTAAACCCGTTCAATCTGCTAGGGGCCTAGGGAAGCCCCGGCCCCCCAACACCATCTGAAACCGTTTGAACCTTTTAAATGGGCCCCGGGCTCCCCCAAAACAATCCGTGAAATAGGGTTTTCGGGTTTAGGGTTTAGGGTTAAGGTTTTAGTTTTAGGGTATTAGGGTTTAGGGTTTAGGGTTTAGGGTTTTAGGGTTTTAGGATTTAGGGTTTAGGGTTAAGTTTGGGTTTTCGGGTTTAGGGTTTTAGGGTTTAGGGTTTAGGGTTTTAGCATCCGCCGACGCCTGGTATATTTGACATTTCGAGACCGCATGACGGCTGTCTAGGCCACCTTGTCTCCCAGGTGTCCCTAAACTCTAAACCCTAAACCCTAAAAAAAAACCCTAAGACCCTAAGACCATAAAGCCCGAAACCCTAGACCCTAAAACCTAAAACCTAAAACCCTCAATCCTAAACTCAAACACCAGCCTCACACCTCCAGAAGCCCTCAGGCATTCCTCAAGCCTTGAACCCCAAGCCAAAAAAACAAATGAATAGATAAATATAAACATAAATATAGATATAAAAAAGGTACCCCCCCATGGATCCAGACTTTTTATTCTTTTTCCCTTTTTCTAAGCTCAGAAAGACAATTTCGTCTAGGGCCGCAGGGTTTAGGGCACAAAAATCTCAAAACTTCAAATAAATTTCAATGAATTTCAAATTAGAAATTTGTGGCCCCCCAAACCGACCGGGAAAAGTTTTCCCGGCATATTCGATTTTGGGACCGAAAATTTTCAATATTTCACATAAACTTCAGATTTGAAATTTTCGGTCCCAAAATCGAAGATCCTGGGAAAACTTTTTCTAGGGATCTTCAATTCTTCAATATTCGGTTTTAGGGCCCAAAAATTTCAAATTTGAAAAGGTTTTCCACAAGAGTCTCCCAGAAATCTTCAATCTTCAGTATTTTCTATAAGACTTTTTCAGAAGTCTTAAGAATTCTAAAGATTTAAGCCTGAACAAATAACATTCAGAAAATTAATCCTGGAATGAGCGTCTTGTGAAATCACACCCGCACGAAAAAGTTTGAACGCCCCCCTCCCTCCCCTTCCCTCCCTCCTCCTCTCCGCTCCACTCCGCTGCGCTCTCTGTGTTTTTTTTTAAATACGGGCTTGTCCAAGGCTTGTTTTTAAAACCTTATCGGTTAAGGGAGTCGGTTTTGAAAGAGAAGGCCCGAAACCCGAGAGGGTTTAAGGCTTTAATCGCCCAAGCCTTAGAGCCTATAGGGTTTAGGCTTAACCCTTAAACCCTAAACCTTTAAACCTCATACATAGGGTTTCATGGTTGAGCAATGACACTTAAATCCTCAACCCTGTGGTGAAGTTTAAAGGTTTAGGGTTTAAGATTTAGGCATTTAAACCTAACCAGCAAATAGACCTGCACCCTTAACCTTAAAGCCCTAGGGTTAAGGGGATTAAGGTTTAAAGGTTTAGGGTTAAACCTGAGGCCATAGTGTTTGAACCTTAAGGGTTTAAGGCAGCCTTTAGGATTTAAGGAAAAATTCCGTTCCTTAAGTGGATGTCGCTACATTCTAAAGAACGGGATCACCTATTAGTTTAGGATTTGACGAATAGCAAGGTCTACGCCTCGTGGGGGTGCACGTGTATACGCTCCTCTTTAAGATTAGAGATTTAGGGACTCAGATTTGGGATCCTCCCGTTTTAGGGCCTGTCCAACTTGATTGTGGAATATAGTGAGAGGTGAGAGCTGGGGAATAAGAGTACGGCAATACGATTTAGGGAACAAGATTTAGGGGCCCCGCTCTCTTTAGGACTTAACATGAAACGGACTTTGGGTTCAGGGACCCTCTCTTTAGGGTCTAGGGAATAAGTTTTGGGAGTAAAATTCAAGGAGTAAGATTTAGGGATCCCGCTCTTTAGGATGTGGCGAAAAGACATTTGGGAATAGGGTTAGTTTTTTTAGGGTTGGAATAAAGGAATAAGACTTAGGGATCCTTTTCTGTGGGATTTTTCTTTAAGATTTAGGGAACAGGGCGAGTTTCCATAAGATTTTTAGGGGCTCTCCTATGGTCTCTCCTCTGTAGGATATGTGGAAGGTTTCCCGGCATCAGTTTGGTATGTACATCCTGAGGCTAGAAGGGCCACAAAACCATGGATCCATGGGGGGGGGGGAGGGGGGGTAGCAAATATAAATATGAATATAAATATACATATAAATATAAATGTAGATATAAATATAAATATTAATATGAATATAAATATGAATATAAATATGAATATAAATATGAATATAAATATGAATATAAATATGTATATAAATATAAATACAAATATAAATATTATTCTAAATACAAAAATAAATACAAATATAGATACAAATACAAGTATAAATATGATCTGTGAATCCGCGTCGAGGCCAGCATGTCCTTGAACAGAAGAATTTCTTGGTATTTTGTTTGGCAACAAAGGCCGCACATCCAGTCAGATCATCATGCAAGCGTTCATTATTGCCTTTGAAGCTTCCAATCCAAGACCCATGCGTACCTGCGCCATTTGCAGCGCTATGGGCTGTTTGCAAGGTGCTGCTGCCAATGCAGGTTCGATGCTGTTGGCATCCGCTGTTTACACACTTTGCAAGCACAATTGTACATTGCAGGTTTGTGCGCTCTTTTTCTTCTTGGTTGTGCATTTTGCTACTGATCTTGGCCATGCGGTCCAGTCAAGGCCGTATCGGGGACATTGCCTGCGATCTGTGTTGCTCCTAGCTTTATTCAACCTGTTCGTGTTACGAGAGTGATGTGTTTGCGGCAAAAGCGTCTTTCAAAGTGGAGTTGTGACGAAGTAGCATTGATTGGCAAAACCACATGAGCTAACATTCATCGTTGCAAATAGAGGGCTTGTGCCGGGCGGACAATGTTGCTTCCACGTGTTTTGTTCGGTGTTCCAAGGCCAGAGTTGGATTTCACCAGCTCGACACGTGAATCATCGCTCAAACAGTTTCAGGCCCCACTGTTCGTGGAGTTGGACGAACGTTTGGTGGCACGTTTTGGGCCCAATTTGTGGCTGTATCGGTAGATGTTCCGTCACCTCATGCGTTTTTCCCTCAATCGCAGGACCTGTACCTCGGCCGAGCAGCCGTCGTTCTTCGAGGTGTTCTTCTCCGCCATTACATTGGGTCACGGTTGTCACACGTTCACGCCTCCCGAGCACAGCTCCTGATTTTTGTAGCCTTCAGCATCCAGAACTTTTTTCGTTTCATCGGGCACGTGTGTCAAGGTAGCTTGTTTCAAGTTTCTGAGGGTCAGGATAGCTCAGCTGGTCCAGAAAGTCCATGCAAACCACTATGGGCGATGTATGTGCCAAGCCCGAAACTGACAAGTCTCCCGATTCCATGTCCACTGCTTTTTTAGGCTTCATACAACCCAAGTGACTTATCCCGGGTTGTCGTTGCACATCCAGGTTCCCGTTCACCCCATTCGCGCCTCAAGGTTCCTGTTACACTTCCCTTTTTGACCCGAAACCCCCCAAACCCTAAACTTTAAACTCTGATCCCAACGCCCAAGCCCCTGACCCTTAAACCCCGAAGCACCTCCCCGCTGTAGTTCTTTGTGAAGGCCGCGCCTCGGGGTCTGCGTGGCAGCACCTGCGCCGACTTTGGGTGCCGCAGCAAAAGATTGGACCTAAGCGGGGGTGCCGGGATTCATGTTCTTGTTCTTTCCGAACTTCGCAGTGCTAGTGCCATTGTTATCACGTTCTGACTACATGACCTGCATCGTTTTTTGTTGTTGATGTTCGTTTGGCTGCTGTTATTGCGACGGAACAGCACTGAGTTTCCAGTGAGTTTTCCCAACCATGCAAACCATGACAAGAGATCCATGAACTTCCTGTCGCTTACGTCCTGATTGCCACCATTCCCAAAGCAAGCTCCTTGAAGTTGGAACAGTAATAGGGTCAGAGAGGCGCGGCAGCGCCTTTTCGCCAAGCATGGTCTCAAGCTCAGTGTGGGATCAGCCTTGAGTGCTGTGAGGTAGTGGCTGTAGCCTAGCTGGGCCTAGCTGTAGCGTTCGAAGCTCCAACTGTGCTTTCTTGTGAGCAAGGCCCGACGTTTCCATGCGTTGTGCGGCAGGGGTGCAATTGTCTCGCATCATGGCATGCTGGAAGGTACGCATCCTGTGCGGCCTAGTGACCTGCATCGAGGCCTTAGCCGGTTTGCAGATGAGTGGTCGAGTGTTCACGAGACCAAGATGGGAGGTGGTGTGCACGAGATTGCAAAGGTAGAAGTGCAAACGTAGGCAGTGACGGCGATGCCGTGTCTGTAGCTCTGAGCTGAAAATCTTTTGCGCGAAGGCTGTGGTCTGGCGTTACGGGCGCAGAAGAAGAGGACTTCTGTGATGCACTCGGCCATGGCGCCGGGGGGCGGCTGCTGCTATTTGCAGCCTCTTATCTGGTGTGTTTAGACCGGGTGATCCCTCCCCCCTTCCAATCCCAACATGTCTACTATGCTACCGCGCTGCTGTCGCTGGTTGTGCCTCGTTGCATACCTGGCTTCGTGCTTCCTTTGAGGCCCCACCACGAAGTTCCTTTGGAAGCTCGTGCTCACTTACAAGTTCCGGATGAGCTGCGAGATTTGCGATTGCACGGCCCAAGCGTCAGCATTGGTGGAAGAGGTTCCACGGCGGTGTTGCACAGGCGCGCGATGATGTCCTGAATGGGTCCCAGGTTGCAGCATTCTGTGCATTCTTTAACGTGCTCAGCACAGGCATGAAGAAGCCTGGATGGTGCAGGTTTATGGTCTGAAGTTGTGTCTTGGCTGGTTTGCTGACGGTTGGCTGACTTTGTGACTTTTTTTGTCTTTCCTTTCTTGTCGTGCCGCTGCTGTTAGATCAGGTGGCTGGTCGGATCCGCAGGCGGCGAGCTTGCAGCCGATACCTTGGCACAGCCCTGCCGCTACAAGAGGTACAGGACTAACGCAGCCGGAAGAATTGAAGTTCAAACTGCGGATGGTCCATTGCAACTGCGGCGTTGTGTGACTGGGCCAACAGACGTCATGTACATACCCGATCGCTGGGCGCATGCGACGTGTGGCCTGAGCAATTTTAACGTTGGCGTTGGCTTTATTGGATCCATCTCCTCACTACCGCCGCTGCATCGCGCGAGCGTCATTGGGGATCTCCCGGGGGCATTGCAGACTCTGCAAAGTCTGCCGTGGTCCCAAATGCTAAGACCTGCTGGCCCAGGCATGTTGAACGAGGACGGCTTGCTTCCCTTGCAGTGGGCCGCCTGGAATGGCCATCTTTCACTGGTGAGGCTGCTCCTTCAGGCAGAAGAGGTGGCGGAGATGGTGGACGGTGCCGGAAGTATTGGGAGCCTCGATTTTGGCGCGGCCCACGCGCTGGGATGGGCCGCGGCACGGGGCCATGTCCCTGTGGTGGCCTTCCTAGTGCGGCGCGCTGGCCACGCTAGAGATGAGCAAGGCGCCATGCAGACTCATGCAGACATTCCGCAGACATTCCCCAAAGTTCTCCAAGGTCCCCCAACGTGACACTGTCGGGCTTTGGTCTGCAAGGAACTGGGCCGTTACATTGGGCAGCTGCCACGGGGCACACCTCGGTTTTGCAGCGGCTCCTTGCGCTGAAGGCTCTGAGCGGCTGGAGCCAAGGTTTATCCGGTTGTTGCACGATTGCTGCTGCCTGCAAAGGTGCATCGACATCTGCTTAGGGGCATGAGTGCAAGTTATAGGTGCTTGGCTGCTACCATGGAACACATAGAGTGTATGTATGTATGTATGTCTGTATGTATGTCTGTATGTATGTATGTATGTATGTATGTGTGTCTATATATATATATATATGTATGCATATATATATATATATATATATATCTATATGTGTATCTTTCCTCACACCTCCTGTGAAGGCGGACCCCAACATGCCCGATGCCTATGGAGCACGGCCTGTGCAACAGCCTTGCAGTAAGCGGATCAAAGGAGCGAGTGGCAAAGGTGAGTTTGGCAAAGTGCAATGTCCCATGAGCTTCTCAGATCTTCTGAGCCTAGGCATTTCTTGGCTGGAGAGGGGCATGTGCCGGTTCTGAGACTGCTGCTGCCCAGCTCATACGCAGTCGTGAAATCGTGGAACCTGCGTCCCCCGTTTAAGCGTTGAATGATAGCAGTCACGATGATAAGGCTGATCGTCATCATACTCAGCAGACGAGTAATATTGAAACGAGTAGGATTACAAACTACTACGAAGAGAAGCAAAGAGTAGTCATCACCCTAGCAATGATTGCTACTAATGTTAACAATGCTCGTGGCACTAGCAACACTTATCGTGCTCAGCACGCTAGTGCCATGAAGAAGGTTCACAACTCTTCTACTGCAAATAATGCGAATAATGCAAAGAACGAAAATTTCGAGCAATTCAAACCGTACAAATAAGATGTACTACTAATACCAATCATGGTAACAATTTGAAAAGCATGAAGTATCCGAATACTCGTTACGAATAGTACCAATATAGTATTTTCAGACCAACGAGACAGACGAGAAAGTACGCACAACCACGGCAAAAAGGAGCATAAGTCAGGATAGGACCATCTGGATGTTTCCAAGGCTTCTCCACAGGGCAAGTGTGGATGCAGCTGATCAGGAGGCCATCTCTTCATACTTGGTGTCAGAGCTCGGGGGTATTTGGCAATCCCCTCTAGAACCCTTCAAGGGATATGCTCAGGGCCGGGGACTTAGCAAGTAGTATCCAAGGCCAAAGCAATGAGGCAGCTTTAGCCCGCAGCACTTGACAGCCTAGCTGTGTACCGAGGGCTCTTTTCTTGGCAATCCAGGGTGAATGCCGTGCACGTTGTTGATTGATTCTTGGCCGGCTTGGCAGCTTGAGGCAGTTGGAGCTGGCAGGGCTTTGAAGTGCATTGTGCCCCATTACGTTTTTCGGGGAGCCGTGTGACACTAATGTCATGATGGTCAAGCTACAAGCCTAGCTTCCAAGGTTGCCATTCACAGGAAAGTGATCTAGCAAGTTGGGCACATTTGTCCTGCACATGTTTCAAGCCACGAGCTGGGGGGCCGAAATCAGTTGGCACAGGCAGACCTGGACCAAAGACTCCCTTATCCTTCCACACCTACACACATAGAGTTTGGGCCTTTTGGGTCATCCTTGATCCTGGCCTTCCCACTTCCACTGCCCCAGGGCATCACGGCAGCACATGCTGCAGCGCAGTTCGGCCACACGCCTCTCCTTCAACAACTCGCTCGTGCTGGTAGCTTATTCAGAGCGAGTTGTGTTCTGCTTGCAGCTGTTGTCGGGCTTGGTAGTTGCGGCCGCTCTCGTCTTGTTGCTGAATGTCATCGTGCCCTGAATCCGGCTGAAGTAGGTGCAGACATACATGGGGCCTCCAGCGCCGGCTTCATGCCCTGGCATCTTGCAAAGGCGGAAGGGGCGCTGGGGTAGAGAATGGTACGGAGTAGCGAGTGTGACCAAGTAAGGAGTACCGGCAGCTGTGCTTTTCCGTGTGCCGTAGCTCAGGCACGCGGGCATTCCTCGACCTGCAAGTGGTTGGAATCGGTTCGAAAAGAAGTCCACAAGTGGGGCGGGGGGCAGGGGAGAACTGCCCGCTGCTTTGCGCTAGTAGGATTATTATCTTTATTATTGTTATGACTATGGTTATGATTATTATCATTATCATTATCATTACCATGACCATTATCATTATCATTTATCATTATCATTATCATTATCAGTATCATTAGTATGGTTATTATCATCATTATCATTATCATGTTTATCATTCTTCTTCTTATTATTACTTTTGTCATATTCTTATCTCGTAGTGGAGGCGCTTTTGGACTACTTGGTGCATCTCGGGTTCCGGACCTCCCAAGGCTGCTATTGGTGTTGGACGGGATTCGGAGGAGGCGAAGACCAGATACTGTGTTTCTTTTTCACATCTAGGAATCCTGCATACAGCAGTTCCGGAGATGCTGGCTCGAACCCAGGGGGCAAGGCTGCTACCCGGGCTTTGCAACTGGTTTTCTTTACCTGTTGAGGGTGGCCGACTTCGCCATGAAGACGCATCCCTTCGGCCGCCGGAAGCCCTTGCTTAGGCCAGGCTTCGAGCTTCCATCCCTGACCTTGAGCACCAGGCCTGGTGGACTCTCAGGGGCGCGCCTACGCTCGGGGAGCCTGGCAAAAAGACATCCAGGGTTTGGATGCAAACGTGCCCCCTTTTTCTGGTTTGGGGTGCTTTGACCATGAGAGCTGGGGGAGTTCTACGACCTCAGCCCTTCGGCGTCGCCATTCACAAGCATCTCCCATCATAACGACACCGGTGGGTATGACAGCGGTGGCAACAGCACCAACGGCGCCGGGAACAACTACACCTGTACCTGCTATGACAACGACATCATGGATTACGGCCACAGCACCAAAGGACAACAACCCACCCACAGTTGCACAGTGTCCAGGTGTTGCCGCGCACACATCGGCCAGAGAGCCTTAAAGCGCAGTTTTTAGGGGGGGAGAGGTTGACCATGTTGCGTCGGGTCCGCTGTGCGGTGGCTCTGTGCAGCAGCGAAGTGGACCCATTCCGAGACAAGAGCTGGTGAGGGAGTGATGGTATTGTTGCGTTGATGGTGCCGTCGGCGGAGAGAGCATCCGAGGTAGTTAGTATCTTGTTGAACTTCGAGCAGGATTGGTTGGCGGTCGAAATCTTCTTGAACGAGCTTGTTCCAAGGTGCTGCGCAGGTCCAGTGAGCCGGAACGATACATATCCGGTCATCGACATACCCCTGACGAACTGAGAGTGAAGAGTGACGGAACGGAGGATCAAACGGTAGAATCTTTTTGCCATTGGGCTTCGTCGATGCTGCGTGCCATGTGACAAAGAATCGGTGACATGGATTGTTTCATAGGGCTCCCTCGGGTTTGTTTCAGTAGCTGCGGTGGAGGACGTAGATGGCGAGGTGCCGAACATCGTGCATCGCGATCGTGCGCTGTCTGCAGGTAGCTTCCCTGAGTTTGCCGTTGAAGGTCTTGGTGATGCGATGCTGCTTTATAGAATCAAAAGTGCTTGTGTGGTCCTGCCATCGTGCAAAGCCATTTCCATACTGAATCTCGTACTTGTGTGGTGATGATCTGGAGTACCTGAAATATTCGATCTTGCGGGCCGCTGGTGAAGAAGCTCGACAGGTCTGCAATCTGGAATTCAAAGTCGGTCTGTGGATTGTGCGTCACGAAAGTTTCGAGGTCTTGGAATACCTGGTGGGTGTTATACTACTGAAGAGCGCGTGGGTACGCTAGGTGGATGACATTGGTAACGATCTTGGCTACAACTGAGAAGAGCGATTTGGCAAAGTGCTGGGTCAAGGACACGATAGGCCTGGGCTTGAAGCCGGTTTGGAAACTGAGGCCGCGCATTGTCTGCGGCTGCTTTCCCAGAAAGTGCGGCGGCCACGAAGATGTTGGGGTCGTTGTGCATCTTGTCGATCAGTTGTTGCAAGTGTAATGGACAATATGCCATGAGTTTGTGACGGGTTAACGCTCGTTCCAGGGAAGGCCTGGCTGGGGCCAGAACGCCACTACTGTGGCACCACTTGATGACATCTTCTGCGGTTTGTGACGCCCAAATGTGTGAGGCCGGGAAGGTGCCTGTCTTGTTGGATGATGTTGCGAGGTGATGTCTTGTCGTGGGGTCCGACTGCTGGTCCGCGATGTCGATGACCGTGTGATCTGGTAAGGTAGAAACTTGTGGACTGCATATGAGGCACCGTTGACATCTTCTTGGTCTGAAACACGTGTTCTGCCAATTGTGGCGCTGCGCCTCGACCTTTGATCCAGGCCTGGCAACGACCACTGTTGCTGGAACGTGAAGTAGGCAAATGCTGGATGCCGATGTAGTGATGAGTGCACGAAGTACATCACGGAGGTGCTCCTTGCGTTTGGGCATTGGGTAGTGTTGCTAACTACAGGTCTGGACTTCGGATAGCTGAGTTGTCATTTTTGCATGACGGTGTGGGCGCGGCTTGGCCGAACTCTCTGTATGAAGACTGGAGCAGGTTGGTCATGCGGTAGACTGCATAGACGTGGTCAACCGGAGCGTTGTTGGACATGAGTTTTTTCGCTTTTGATGTCTGGCGAGTCTGCCATGCATTTTGGAGCTGTTGCGCATTGTGCCTTGTCGCCCAATTTTGCGTGCTTGTTGAAAGGTGCGATGAGGGGGGTTTGTACCTCCTTCGTTTGTGAAGTGTTTGTCTTCCTTCGTCAGCAACTTGTCATGTCATGTGGGGATTTGGACTCCGCGTTGTGAACTTTGAGTTTCTGATGGGTGCGGTTTCCCCTTGTTGGCAGCCGGCAATTGTGGGCTTTCTTTTGCTTTGCGTGGACTTGCGTGGCTGCAGTCTATTGGGTTTCGTATCTTAAACGGCTCGATCATACCTCTCATTGCCCGCAGGCGGCGGCTGGGGTCCCACTGCCGCCGAAACGCGGCGTGTTCTGGGCGGGCTCCTAGCGGCTCGTACCGGGCACTCCCCTGCAGCCGAAACGGATCGCCTCCTTCAGCCCTGCAGCGCGAGAATGGCAGGGCTGTCCTCCGCCGGCTCCTTTTCTGAGCCCGTTGCCAGCGCCTGCTTTCCCGTCTACCATGGGCACCTGGTCCCCCCACGCTTTTCTGAGCTGCCTGCCTGTGCAGCGCTGAGCATGTAGTCTTTTCTGCCACCTACGCTGGCCCATTTCCGCTGCACCCCCGGGTTACACACAGCAGCCTTGGCAACGTCCACTTAGGGTTCAGTGAGGCTTTTCTTAGGATTGTCCTCTTGCGCCGCCCTCAGAAGTAGGACCGTGCGAGGTTTTGTAAAACCCCGTGAGACTCTCTGAATTCTAGCTCGAACATTTGCATGGTGTTGATCACTCGTTCCTGTTGATGGTATCCATGCCGCACCGCTATAGCGTCGCAACGATTTTGCCCAAAAGCAAACCTTGTGTGGATTCTTGTGCAGTGAGCGAAGCGAGGCTGTTGCGCGCACAAAGTTCTGGGGCGTATCATGCAGTGTTCGCTTTGAGAATGCACTCGCCGCCGCCGCCGCCGCTCTTTTTAGGCAACGAAACCTACTCGCGTTGCATTGCTGGAATCACGAAGAAACATCTATGCGGAAAAA